GCATTTGTTTATGACATTGGTTTTAGGTATCTGTATGTACATACACACACACAAATACACAAACATACAATAAAGCTTTAATTAGAAATAAGGTGGACTCAAAGTGTTGGTTCGTAGTTCCTCTTGCAATTCAATGTACGGATCTGGTCACCATGACTGTTACAGGATCTGGAATCAAGATCTAGGTCCTGATCCACTTCTTTACTCATTATGTTGCCTAAGCTTCTGTGAGAAGCAGTTACAGGTTAAGAATTAATGTACTCCTCTGCAATTATCGTGATTTCAAAGGGAAAAAATATTCCAGTGAAGTGTTACAGTTAAATTAAAATGGAAATCCTAAGTCAACCCACCACACTACTCCTGCATGTGTGTGGCTCAACTATAGCAAATATTACTCAGATGGAGGTTGCACCAACTGCCAAAGGGGTCCAAAAATTGAAGAGTTCAAGGCTCTTTCTTCTATGGTTTGATGCTTCAGCAAAGTGAGGAAAATCCATTACTTAGAAGTAACAGGCTTCACATTTCAATATGTTTATCCAGGAAGACTGATCCTGATCTTATAACCCAAAATAACTGCACCGATTTCTCTTTTTACAGATGTCAGCTGAGCACTGGGAAGATGGAAAAGATCTGAATCCAACAGTATGGTTGCTGTACACAGTTAAACTTTAGCTCATTTAAAGAACTTCCTTGTATTTCCACAATCTGAGCTGGGTTGAACAATCCCGAGCAGCGGTTTGCCTTCTGTATTTCTGTGCTTTCTAAATAAAGAAAAAAAATGCTTTCACACACCCTTTCAAAGCTTTACATTTAAAATCCTTCAGTAGCCATACTTAAGGCTGTACTTTGTTTCTCAGCAAGAGAAACAACATCACACAGGGTCTTGGACTAAAGCACATCTAACAAATAACCCTTGCTACACAATGATATTCCTTCCCTGGCAAAGACCTGGACCCTTGCTGCTGGTGTGAAGATGCTCTTTCCACTGCAGCTTGCTCTCAAGATACACTTAGATTGGCTGATAAAAAACAGAACATGGAGCGTACTGGCTTGCACGTAGCCACGCTGCTGCCACTGGCCGCAATGCCTGTACATCTTGCTCAGCATCTGCACCAAAATTTGTGGCTTGGAAACAAATATCTTATTCCTATAGCTTTGTACTCCCCAACCTCCCTTCTACTGTGCTGATAACCTAACCCAGAATCAGTTCCAACACACCAAACAAGCAAACAATTTTTTTAAAAAAAGTATTATTTTACCTCTAAGGTGTGTAGAATCTTCCTTAAAAAATTGAACATACGAAGGCAAATTGGTATGGGGTCTTGAGATTTTAAGAAAAAGCACGTATTTGCTTTTTAAAGAAGGTTTAAAATCCCTTCCCATCTATTTGTCCATCTCAGATAAGTTCTGCTTCCGTCCTGAACAGTGCAACTATTCTCTTTATGTATTGTTTTAAACTTGCGTTTTGCAGGTTCTCTCATAGCAATTCTCTCATGACAAAAAGGGAGAAAAAGGACCTGCCTGATTTTTAGGGAGCAAGTGGGGAGGAATGAAATAAGGGAGGGAGCTTGCACATTCCTGATTAACCACCAGTCTCTTCTTACCTATCTAGTTCCACATGTCTCCCTCCTTGTGCTTTTTGACACGTTTCTGCTTTGGGAATGACAAGATGAACAGATGTCTTTCATGCCAGCACAGAACGAAAAGCCAAGAGTTCCAACAGCCAGAGAAGAGACATCACAACACAAAATAAAAATACTGAGAAATAACTACACATGATATAAATCTTGTACAAAAATTGCCCACCAACAGCACACAAACCTTGAACTTTGGCCAATACAAATACATTTCTGAAAACTTCTCTGAATTCAAGCAGAGAATCTCTATAGAAAAACTACTTAAGGTCAAGCAAGAAAACTGAGTCATCACTCACATGTTGGCTGACACAAACAACAGCATAGTCTGCAAAAGGGTTAGAAGATAGATAGCTTTAATTTTATAATCTTTTGGATACATACACGTAAGGCACAATCCAAAAACCTCAAAACATTAACTAGAGAATCTTTACTCTTGCCAGCGACAGCTGCCTCTTAACAGCTGCCCTGGTGAAAATGAAATGTAGAATACATCTTCCATAAAAATAGACGAACAAGCAAACAAAAACAGAACTTGACAAAACTTCTTTAGAACAATCTTAACAAGACCAAAACAAATTTAAGGCTGTTCTTTTCACCTACAGGGAATAGGTTAGCATGAAACAACCACTGTGTGCAATATACATATAAATGGCATTAAAATGGCACATGTTTATACAAAATGAAACCTTAAATCATACAGTATGATTTTTGCTCCAGAAATTTCAGTATAATATCATAAGCAGAAGGAATGACCTGCCATTCCCTCATTAGCGAAAGTGCTTAAAAAATCTTTAACAGATGGTAAATAAGCTTGATTTTTTTTCTTTGGTATTTATTACATTTATATAATTTTTGAGTGAAAGGAAAGAGATTTGGAAATAATATAGCATTAGGAAAAATACTTCTTGCTATGTGTACTTTTTTTTTGCGGGGGGGCGGGGGGAAGGATACTTTAAAGCAAAACCTTGAAAATAGCAGCTTTAAAAAACAAAACACACACAAAACAAAAAAACCTCAATGCTCCCTTTAGTCATTTCCACCACACAATTTGAGGAGAATTTTCCGGTAGTCTCCTGAAGTATCACCCTGAAAACAAATCCAGAAGAAGAAAAGTTGAAGACCTTTTTCTTGAAGGATTAAAGAAGGAAGATGAAATGTAAGCACAGATTTCTGAAACCTCTCTGTACCAACTACTCTTCCTTTCCTGTCTGTTGGCTTCTTTCCCATATCCAGCTAACCCAACCCCACACAAAAGCAAGTGCTGCCTGTTCCATGGCTCTTCCACCTCTACTCTCCTGACAAACCAGCAAACCAAGCACAGCCAGCTGCACTGAGTGCGACAGCAGCTACTCAACGGAAAGATCTATATTCTACTAGCAGTAAGGAAGCCAAGGGAGGAAAACCAGAACTCTGCAGCCTTACGGTGATATCCGCGTAGAGAGACTTCCCATACATCCGCTTGTACTCCGCGCGTATGTCCAGCAGGTCAACCTCGCTGCGCGACACCATGATCCGAATCAGGGTTCTGTCCCTCGTCCCTGCCCCCTGAAACAATCCAATGCAACAGTATGCTGCACGTGTGGAATTCTGAAGAACACAGCACTGCTGGAAAACAGCCCCCTCCCCACCAAAGCACTGCCCCCGCCGCCCCCCGCCCCTGCAAAAGAAGCATCCAGAAGATGCACCCCAGCAGACTGACTCTTTACCAGCATAACCCCATTCACTTCAAAGAGGCTGAATAGAATTTGGCCTATCAAGCTTCAATGAATTACAGTACTCTTCATCAGGACATTAACAGTCTTTTCTCCAGTTTAAAAAGAGGGTAAGACAACAGCCAAGCAGCACCTCTGCTTGACCTCAAGTCCGATGAGTTAAATGGCCTACTCACTTATTTTGCCTGGGCACCTCTACTTAAAACATAACAATTTCAGTGAGACTTAAGCACATTAAGCATTTTACGAAGTAAAGATTTTCATTATAAACTAGATCTTTCCAGCCTATCATAATAACGACAGCAACTTATTAGCTTTCCGCTCACTGAAGTATTTAAATTTTACCTTTCGCTCATTAATGCTTATATGTTTTTTATTATTTCCAAGGTAGCTGTACAATACATTCCAATGAGCTGTATATGATTACTAAAAACACACTAAGTTATGTATCCTGGCATTGACACCTACCTTCATAGCTTTCTTCAATCTTTCTGCAAAAAATGCAGGTGTGTTCTTGAGACACTTAACTGCAAAAAGAAACAGCATTACAGAAATTAGGTTTTTCCTACTCAACTAAAACTCACGGTCATTATTTGAGCTTACCCTGAATAGACTTTTTAAAATCAAGTGCTTTGATTTTACACAGATAAACATTAATATTATGCAGCTTCCACTCCTTCAATTAGCCACTAAAATGAAACAATTAGAGAACCTACTACACTTGTAAAACAGTTAAAGAACCTGCTACACTTGATAGCTCATAGCAAACTTCATAATTGCCAGAAACTTCCCAATCTGAAGCAGCCAAAATGACTCTTAAGTCTCATGATCAGATTATTTCTGAAAGGGAGAGAGGGACTGGGGGAGAAGGGCAGCAGATTTGAGGGAGGACATAAGAGCCACTGTCTTTTTCTTAATTTATGCAATCCCAGGCATGGGATCTGCCAGGCGTGACTTCAATTCAAGTTGTGTCCTAACATAAGCAGAGAAGCTCCCTATGATAGAAACCTCAGCGTTGTTGTTTATTAGCCAAGGTTCATCAGGACTTCTGAAAAAAATTTGGCATGCTTATTTTTAATGACCAAATTCTAAATTTAGTTAGCACTGTTCATTGGAAATCAGAGATTAAAATCCATATAGAATTGCTGTTATATTAATCATAATACTAAAATAATCCTTTATTAAAGATCAGAATTAAAATCTGTATGTTGTTCCTATGATGGGTACCAGTAAGTCGTCATGCAAACTAGGCAAACTACACAAAAAACAAACCACACTTTTCATTTTATGGCACAAAAAGGTATAAAAACAATCACATAAGATCAAGATAGAACAAAAGGGTAAAACCTAAGCAACGCGTATTCCATATAGAAAAATTATTTTTCTCACTAGGAAAAAGTAGGTGGGAAACAGCAGTTCAACACAAAAACAACTGTCAATAATGTGTATAAACCAATGCAAAACAAGCAACACAACACATGAAATGCCTGTTTCTTGATCACTGTATTCAGCTAAAATAACACACTTGCACTTCAATATGTGTGGAAATGTTATTGTAAATTACCATTTGTATAGTCCAGAAAGCTTTAAAGAAAGCAAAATCAAATATTTTGAATTAGAAAAATCTTTTTCATAAAAATAAGTTGCACAAAACAAATCACGCTGAAGTCATCAACTGATATATGTAATTAAAAATCTAATTAATATTGTTTAGTGAACATTAGTGATAGTTCTTCCTCAAAAGGAAGCTAGGAAAGCTATTGGTTTGCTTGCAGGTTACAGTCTCAGTTCTGCACCTGGATCCACCCAGACTTTTGCGAGCAGGAAAGTCCTGCAGGACCACCCAGACTTTTGCGAGCAGGAAAGTTCTACTAAGTCGAAGGCCACAGTTGATGTGACAAATTTTGAAGCTCAGAAAAGGCAAAACAATATATCACACAAATAGAGTGAAACCAATCTGTAGCATTAAAAGACTGTTTTAATGACAGCCTGGCCGAACAGGAAAGAGAAAGGAAAACAATACATAGTTTACATAAACGCAAGATAAGTGTGAGAACTGAGGTTTTTAAGATTGATGTCCATTTTACAAGGTTTTGCTAAAAACTTTCACGAAAAAGAATCTGTGGCTTTATCACACAGAAACCCAGAAAGCCAGACGATATGCAGAGTGAGTGAGTGAGAGCCTTGCCCAAACCCCAGAGACCACTGACTACCTTTCAGGGGACAACAGTAGACTGACGTAAATCTTTGCTCTTCAGAAGTACTGCAGACCCTTACAAAGAAAGATCTAGCAGCAGAATTAACTTCGCTGAAACCATTTTTAACTTTTCTGCCTACTAAAAATAAGAGGTTAATGCCTACATTTTGCTTGATTTCCAAAGCTGCCATGTACATCCCACCCTCAGTGACACAGTGACTGGTAACAGAGTTCTTACTTTTTAAAATAAAGCCAAGTACAGTTACGAATTCTCTCTCCCCAGTTTAATGTTCAAAGCTGCACATGTGAAATTTAAACCCAACTGTTGCCGGAAGCAAAAGCCTCAACTGTCATTCTGGGATGATTTAAGCGCTTTGGTTTATTAACCCTAGGCAAGCTCACATGAAAGCTCACAGAAAAAGCACAAAACCAGAATTACCACTAAGGACAGCAGCCTCAGCTGATGTCACAAATAGAGTTTCCACAGCCAAGTCCTAGCACAGACTGGCAGCAGGAACGGAATTGCTGGGATGGCACGTACCTACTGCCAGCATGCCCTTCTCCAGGTCTCCAGACATCTCCCGACATATGCTGCTCTCAATGTCCCGGTTACACATCCGCTGGTATTCACTGAAAACTGTTAAGAGAAGAGAAAGTTTTCAGGAGCTGGTCTCTCAAACAAATGCCAGATGCTTTATTTCACTCAAACAATTATGACCTCTACTCTGATCTTTAAGAAAGATGGTCATAATGTACAGCTCCTGGGCAGCCCTTTGATCAGCAGAGCTCACCCTGCTTGACACTGGGGTATCATTATTCTGATTTTACAGATGGGAGAACTCAGATACAGAACTGTTATGTGTTTTTATCATCACAAACGGCTGAATAAAGCTGATGTTTACAGAGAGGTCCAGACACCATTACCTGCTCTGAGGTGGGCCCTGCTTCTTGCACACAGAATGGCATTGAATTTGGACTCATCCGTCCCTAGACGGTTCTCTCCAGCTGCATATAACTCCTAAACACAGAGAATTCACACTTCACCACTTATGCAGTCAGGCTGGAAAACAGAGTTACAAATTCACTCCCTTACAGCCTCTCCTCTATTTATACTGCCTGAAAACAGGAAGCAAGTGATAAGCAGCAGCTAGTTCTAACCTTTGTACACACCAAGAGCCTTATTTGCAGCCACTTCACATTACTGATACATTAAATACCAAATGCAAGAGCTCCAGACTACTCCAAAGGGGTAAAAAGTTTGGTTAAGAAGCTGAAGACTATTTCTCATAACAAAGTTTGCATCCAGCCTCTTTTCTGCACTATCATGTATGTTCCAAGATGCCCATATTTTTCCTCTCATCTTTGGGCTAAGGCATGCTATGCATTACTATTCAGACAACAGGCGTGGCTTGAAAATATCCAGTGCTTTCCTTGCTGCACAGTGAATGAGAACCCCCTGAAAAAGTAAAGTACAAGTCACTAGATCCAAGTGCCCCACTTGCTGCTGAAATCTGGAGGTCCCTAAGATTTCAAGCAAAGGATGTGGAATATATTAAATTTTCCTCTGCGCACACATCAACCTAAATCTCACTCTAGAGTTGTGACAAAGTTGTGCATTAGTTAAGCAGCAGAGTCACGCAGCAGACCCCAGAAAAGCAAGCAAGATGATGAAATGAGGGCAAAAACCTATTCCCAAAAGCTTCACTTCTGCAATGGAGCTGCACAGATCTGTTAGAATTTATGTCCCTTCCTAACCTGTAAAACACAAGCCCTACACCAGGAAAAGTCACTCTGCCCAAAAGCAAGAACAACTAGGAATTACATACTCAAATTTCAATGTACTGAATTGATTCTACTTACAAATTATGACGAACTTTTACTGACCTGCACATCTCTCTGGACAAGAGACATGTCAACATTTGTGCTTTCATCTCTGTTTCCCTGAAAGAATTTAGAGATACAAAGTTATGCTGATGGGCCTCACAAACACACACAATCAGAAAAAACCCATAGAGTCCTGGGTATTCTGTACGGAATACCCAGGAAACCTAAACTCAAGAAGCCTTGCATGCAAATACCTGAGAAAGTGAAATTAAAAGCCTCTGAAAGTGTCCTGATGTGTCACTTCTGATTGCTTCCTCCAGAGTCTTCTTAAATTCTGGAACAGAGCCACAGTCATGAATCATCTTTCACTCCTGCTCATCTCCTAAACTCTTAGCATTAGTCAATGATCAAGAAAAAAAGAGGAAGAAAAATCTGATGAGACAGTGATAAATCTAACCTGCTTTATAGACCCTGTTGAGTTCCTGAATATGCTCATTACTGCGAGAAGCTAGGATTTCAATAAGGCAGTTCTCATCTGTGCCAACACCCTAAAACAAAACAGATAAACATACACTCCTCAGATACTAAGTTATAAAAGTAAGATGAGTATGAGAGAAATGTAATAAAGCTTTAGAATCAAACACAATTCTAATAGCAACTTATCACAGCATGAGTCGAAGTGAGTAGTTTCAATGTTACTTATAATAGAAACTTCAAAGCATAGATGCATGTTAAAATATATTAAGAATTGTTTAATCAATTTAAAAACATCATTTTAAAATGTCATCCTCCATACCAGATTTCAGGCTTTTTAAGAACAAGTTGTTTCCACCTATTGAAGAATTTTTTTATTTTAATACGTATCTTTCACTGCCTATTAAGAAACGACAGTTGCAATCACAATGCAGCTAATATTACTTCATCTGCCTAGCTTTTTAAGAACGGCCACAGAACATTTAAACATGCATACTGCCTCTGTAAGAAAATGTTTACTTCAGTTTCATTTGAGCATCTTCTCAAAAAACAAGTGTTTGACCTGTTTTTATTAAGAAAAAAAAAATCATCTTATTGCTGTAAAGAACAGCCATATTTTAAATTTAAATCTCATGCACAAACCTTTATAGCTTCCTTGATTTCATAAGCATCAAACATGACAGGTGTCTTCATCATTGCTAAGATTGTCTTCTCAAAATTGCCTGATAGCTCAGACTTGAGATCCTTGATCAAATCCTAATGAGAAATGCAAACAGGAGTGGAGAAAGGCATGAAGACTGTGGAGTTTAACTAGAAGTCTTCCTGTGCGTTATATCAATAATATGCCCACAAAGTAAAATTATTTCATGTAATGACGCTAAAACAAACAAAAATTACCTAATATAATGAGATAATTAAGTTCAAAATAAAATAGATTGCACAGACCAAAGGTTCAAGGTAACTTTAGCAGAGAAACAGCTTTATACGTTTTATCTGAAACGGTTCATGGATGTCAAAAGTAGGTAAAAATTATAAACCTAAACAGGCTTATGAACCATGTCCTCCACAGGTAACTTTGATTAAAAAAAAATCCCCACAAGCCCACCCCACCACACCACCAACTCTTCCAACTTCTCTTAAATGAACACAGGCCTTATTTCCTCTTCCCTCTGTGCTCATAATCTTCTTACCTTTCCATAGGCTGTTTTGAAGGACAGCATGATCTGCTGTCGTTGTTTGTTTGAGCGACTTCCAAGGCAATCTATAATGGCCTGCTCGTCAGTTCCTGCATACACACAGAGGCAGAATGAGGATGTGCACGTCAGGACTCAGCTTCCTATTACAGTTTGATCCTTCCTCTGCTAAAACCCACTAAAGCACATGGGTGCTTTTAATGCACCTACTGCATCTCCTTGTGTATGACCAGCAAACTGCGGATCTACTCCCAACCACAAACACAATGAGAATAGAAACAAAAGCACAGCAAACTTATAATGCTGCTTATGCCTCCAATCATTTTTTGGAGAACCAAGGATAACCGTGAATTAGATATCACAGTGTATATGTAGCCCTGTACACAGCTAACAAGGGAGAAATGCATTGCTGCATTGAAGTTGCAATTCTATGTTTAACTGGAAATGTAAATCCACAGATTGCTCACCAAATCCCTTCATTGCCTTCCTCAAGACTTCTGCATCCTTCAGGGGGTCAAATCCTGGTGCATCCGTGATTGTGCCTCTGTTTCCATACTAAATCACACAAAGTTGAACAGCATATTAGTATTAACCAAAAAAAATTCAAAAGGTTGCATTTTACTACTTAGGAAAGATAACCACTATTATCGACTTTCTTTTTTGTTAGTGAGGTAACAAAGGAAACTCAACAGAACTTTAAGATTTTGTTCATTTCTATACTCAAATTCTGAAAAAATACAAACAAGTTCACTGATATTAAATCTGCTCTCCTATTAACTAAGATCCAAAAAATCTGTATGTACAAATGGAGATATTTAAATTTAAGGAAGGCAAATCTGATGAAATTCAAATCACTTCAAAACGTTCTTTACTTAATGCACTAAAACAGCATTTCTTTTAAACTGTGCGGGCCTATATGGCTGGAAGATATTAATTTCTGTTCTTCTCTTGCCTGGGTTTGCAGTTTCAGCCTTGGGTTACTCCTACACGCACAAGGAAAATGCACAGAAGCACACGCGGTCACGTTTTAAAGACACGGAATGCTCTTACTGCTCCAGGAGTCACCGTAGGTGCCACAG